CGACCCCGGCGGGGCCTCCCCCGCGCCCCCCTTCTCCTGGCCCCCCCATTTCCTGCCGCTCGGCACTCCCTGGCCCGAGGCCGCGGCGCTGTGGGGCGCGGCCTGGGGGGGTCACGTCTATGGGGCGGGGGCCGCCTTCGCGCTGCTGGGGGGGCTGGGGGCGCTGCTGCTGCTGGGGGGGCGGCGGCGGCCGCTGGAGCGGCTGCGGGGGGGGCTCCTGGCCGTGTCGGGCTTCGCCCGCGCCTTCCCCCTGTTCTTCGACCCCTACGAGCTGGGGGGGCGGCTGCCGCCCCCCGCCGCCCGCGCGCTGTTCGAGCTGCCGTTCCCGTGCCTGGGCTGGGGGCTGCCGCTCGCCCCCCCCGCCGCGGTGCCGCTGGCGCTGGGGGTCCTGCACCTGGGGGCGGCGCTGGGGGCCGTGGGGGCGGTGGCGGCGCTGGGGGGGCCGGGGGCGCTGCTGCTGCTGCCCCGGGCTCTGTTCGCGGCTCTGGCGGCCGGGCTGGCGCTGGGGGGGCTGGGGGGGCTGCGGCGCTGCGGGGGGGGCGGGGGGCGCGGCAAGCGCGGGGCGGGGGGGGCGCGGGCGGGGGTCCCGCGGTTCGTGGGGGCGCTGGGGGCGGTGCTGAGCGCGGGGCTGCAGCTTTTCGGGGCGCTGCAGGCCTGGGGGTGGGCGGTGACCCCCCCCCCGGGGCCCTGGGTCTGGTGGGGGCTCCAGCTCGGGGGGCGCCTGGCCGAGCTCGCCATGGGGGGGGCGCTGGCGGCTCTGGCGTTCGCGGCCCCCCCGAGCGGCCGCGCCCCCCCCGGCGGACCCCCCGAGCCCCCCGAGGGCGGCGGCGGCGGGGGGGGGGCGGGGGCGGGGGGGGGGGGGGCGCCCCCCGAGTCCCCCCTGGACGTGGACGGGGACCCCACGGCCGGGTACCGGCCCCCCTCCCCCATCGACCTGCGCCGCTCCATCGACGAGGCCCTGGGGGCGCCGGGAATGTTCCGCACCGGGATCGCCGGGATCACCGGGATCACCGGGATCGCCGGGATCACCGGGAGCGCCGGGAGCGCCGGGAACGCCCGGATCGGCGGCACCGGCAACACCGGCGGCGCTGGGAATAGCGGGAAAAGCAAGAGCAACGGGATCAGCGTCCTCGGGAGCACCGGGAGCACCGAGATCAGCGTCATCAGCGCCGCCGGGAGCTCCGGGAGCGCCGGGAACACCGGGAGCGCCGGGAACACCGGGAACAGCGGCACCGCCTTACCGGGGAGCGGCAGCGCCGTGCCGGGGGTGGGCACGGGGAGCGGCGTCACCGGGATCCGCACAGCTGGAACAGCTGCAACAGCCGGCAAACCTGGAACAGCTGGAACACCTGGCACAGCTGGAGCGACCGGCAGAACTGCAACAGCTGGAACGGCCGGCAAACCTGGCACAGCTGGAACACCTGGCACAGCTGGGACAGCTGGGACAGCCAACACACCTGGCACAGCTGGAGCAACCGGCAAATCTGGCACAGCTGCTGCTCCTGACACAACTGGAAAACCTGGCACAGCCGGAACACCTGGCACAGCTGGCACAGCCGGAACACCTAGCACAGCCGGAACACCTGGCACACCTGGGACAGCCAACGCACCTGGCACAGCTGGAGCAACCGGCAGAACTGGAACAGCTGGAACACCTGGCACAGCCGGAACACCTGGCACAGCCGGAACACCTGGCACAGCCAGAACACCTGGCACAGCCGGCACAGCCAGAACACCTGGCACAGCTGGAACACCTGGCACAGCCGGAACAGCTGGCACAGCCGGCACAGCCGGCACAGCTGGAACAGCTGGAACAGCCGGCACAGCTGGAACAGCCGGCACAAGCAGGGACAGCAAAGCTGCGGCCCCGGGAATTGGCATCGCCGGCACCGCCGGGACTGCAGCACCGGGCAGCACCAGCGGCACAGCTGGAACACCGGGAGCACCGGGAACACCTGCCACAGCTGGCACAGCTGGAACACCTGGAACAGCTGGCACAGCACAGGGAACACCGGGAGCACAGGGAACACCTGCCACACCTGCCACACCTGCCACAGCTGGCACAGCTGGAACACCTGGCACAGCACAGGGAACATCGGGAGTCCAGGGAACAGCTGGAACACGCGGCACAGCTGGAGCAGCACAGGGAACACCGGGAACACCTGGCACAGCTGGAACAGCTGGGGGACCTGGCCCAGCACAGGGTCTCAGCAGCTCCGGCCCCCGCGGCCCCCCCAGCGCCCCCCGCCCCCCCGGCCTGGCCCGCGCCGCCTCCTGCGGGGGTCCCTCCGGGGGTCCCTCCGGGGGGGATGCCGGGGTCGCCCCCTCGCCCCGGGGACCCTCCCGGGGGGCGCCGCCCCCGCTGCGGCCGTCCCAGAGCTGGGCTGAGGGGAGCCCCCGGCCCCCCCCGGGCCCCCAGACCCCCGGCGGGGGGAGCCCCGCGCCCCCCGCGCCCCCCGGGAGCGGTGACGGCCGCAGCCCGGGCAGTGACACCATAGACTTGTAGGGTGGGGGCAGCGGGGGGACCCCTGCCAGGGACCCCCAGGACCCCCTCAGCCGCCCCCCAAGCCCCTGAGACCCCCAGATAAGGGTGACAACCTCGGGACCCCCCAATTCCTGAGACCCCCACGTGCTGGTGACAATCTGGGGACACCCCAGGTCCCTGAGACCCCCCCCCCCCCCAATGCGGGTGACAATCCGGGGACCCCTCCCCGTGCCCTCGAGACCCCCAAGTGTTGGTGACAATTCGGGGACCCCCAAGGTGCCCCCCCCAGGTCCTCGAGACCCCCAAATACGGGTAACAAACTTCCCCCCCCCCATGTCCCTGAGACCTGGGACAACCTGGGACCCCCCCAAGTTCCTGAGCCCCCCAAGTGCTGACCATGACCTGGGGACCCCCCAAGTGGCTCCCAAGTCCTTGAGACCCCCAAATACGGGTAACGAAGTGCCCCACCCAAAGCCTTGAGCCCCCCGTTTGCTGGTGCCAACCTGGGGACCCCCCCAGGTGTCCCCAAGTCCTCGAGACCCCAAAGGGCAGGTGCGAACCTGGGGCCCCCCCCCAATTCCATCAGACCCCCAAATACGGGTAAGAAACGCCCCTCCCCCATGTCCTTGAGCCCCCAAAGTGCTGGTGCCAGTCTGGGACCCCCCCAGACGCCCCTCAGGTCCCTGCGACCCCCCCAATACGGGTAACAAAGTGCCCCCCAAGTCCCCGAGACCCCCAAGTGCTGGTGACGACCTGGGGCCCCCCAAAATCCCCCACGGCCCCCCCGGTTCTCTCCCCAGTGTACCCAATAAAGTGCCACGTGCGAAGGATGTGTGCGACCCCCGGGACCCCCGGATGGGCCCCTGAGCACCCCCAGCCCAGGGGCGGGACCCCCGAACCTCTCTGATCCCCCGAGCTCCAACACGGGACCCCCGAACCTCTCTGACCCCCCCCGAACCTCTCTGAGCCCCCCGAG